TGTTATTATTTTACAGTCATTTTGGTCATTAACAAACACATAGATATATTATTAATTTGCAGTCATTTTGGTCATTAAAGGACACACATATATTTTATTATTTTACAGTCATTTTGGTCATTAAGGAACACATATACATTATTTTAGAGTCATTTTGGTCTTCAAATAACATGCAGATATGTTATTATTTTACAGTCATTTTGGACATCAAATAACATACACATATGTTATTATTTTACTGTCATTTTGGTAATTAAAGAACATATAGGTATGTTATTATTTTCGAGTCATTTTGGTCATTAAAGAAAACATAGATATGTTATTATTTTGCAGTCATTTTGGTCATTAAAGAACACACAGATATTTTATTATTTTGCCGTCATTTTGGTCATTGATGAACGCACAGATAATTTATTATTTTACAGTCATTTTCGTCATTAAAGAACAGATAGTTATGTTATTATTTTAGAGTCATTTTGGTTATTAAAGAACACACTGATGTGTTATTATTTTCCAGAACACATAGATATGTTATTATTTTACAGTCATTTTGGTCATAAAATAACATACAGATATATTATTATTTTACAGTCATTTCGTTCATTAACGAACACATTCATATATTATTATTTTAGAGTCATTTTGGTCATTAAAGAACACACAGATATGTTATTATTTTACTTTTATTTTGGTCATTAAAGAACAAACAGGTATGTTATTATTTTACAGTCAATTTGGTCATTAAATAACAAACATATATGTTATTATTTTAGAGTCATTTTGGTCATTAAATATCAAACCTATATGTTATTATTTCACAATCATTTTGGTCATTAAAGAACACACAGATATGTTATTATTTTACAGTTACTGATGTCATTAAAGAACACATATATATATATTATTATTTTACAGTCATTTTGGTCATTAAATAACATACAGTTATGTTATTATTTTACAGTCATTTTGGTCATTAAAGGACACACAGATATGTGCATTGTAATTAAAAACAAAATAATACATAGAAATATTAAGGAAAGAATTGTTTTTCAATTGAGATATTCTTTAGATTATTATACAAAAAGATTCATTAAGAAAAAATGAACGGGAATATACATGTTTTATTAAGACCAAATACATAAATTTCTATAAGTATAAAGTATTTGAAGATATCCTTGAAGTAAACACTGTTTCAAACTTCGCATTTTTAAATAAAAAGATAAGTACAGATAACTCTTCAAAAAGTCCTGGATCGATTTTACACTGTATCGATAATAGCTGTAATGATATTAGTGTCATCTGATATCTTGTTAAAGGAAAATCTACTACAGAAATTGTTTCGATAATTATTGTCTTGACGATTATCAGCGACGTTTAGTGATTCTCACAAGAACCATATCAAATGACTCCGACAAGAAGGTCACTGAGTGGAACAAGACCCTGTGTTCCTCATAATTTACTTTTGCAGACAGAGCTGAGAGGACCAAGAAGGCCTGCTCTCTATAAGACAGTGGTCTCTAGCAGCAAAAAAATCAGAAAGGCAGAGCGGGACAAGAAACCGCTCGCCTTGGCGTGAAAGTGAATACAAACTGGTTAGCCTGTTCGTCCCCTCAACACGCCTTACCTCTGCCTCGCTCTTCTTCAGAAGAAGATTAAAACTAGAATAAAATTTGCCTAATGCTACAATTTCACCTCACAGTATTATTCCGTGGGTAAAGCTTTGACCAAAGTGAAGGCAAATGGAAACCAATTCACTATCTTTCTCTATAATGCATGGGATAACAAAGTAAAAGGAATCTGTGGAGAGCCATGAACGCCTACACCCTGAACAGGCATGGGATATTTCGATTCTCGTTGATGGCATATTCTCTGTTAGTTGCTTGTTATGTTCGTTTGAGTTTTTAATTACTGTGTCCTTCCATCAGTCCAAAGTGATATTTTTAAATCTACCAAAAAAAAAAAAAAAAAACAAACAAACAAAAGAAACCCCAAAAAGAAAAGAAAAGAAAAGAAAACAAAAAACCCCAAAACAAACATGAATGCTAATCTTGCTGTAAATTTGATATTATTTATGATCATTTCTTATAATAAATTATTTTTTACTTTTTTTTTTTTTTATCGCAGACCATTAATGCCAAAAGAAAAAGAAACTTAATAATGCGATGCTGTCATTCCTTACTGGATTCTAAAAAGATCTTGCAAGTTCTTTTTCTGTGTTTTCATACTTGGATATTTTCTTCATCGACGGAGACTGCAGTCATTGGAATCCTTAATGAGTTGGCTAGTCCAACCAAGTGTGATGTAATCAATCCGACGGAAGTTTATGAAATCGAATCCTTACAATGGATGATCAATATATTGAACCACAACAATTACACTCAGAATGTTAAACTGGGTAAGTAAAATGTCTGAATTTTACATCTGGGATTTGGTTAACTAATGAAAAAAATGTAATTTTTGTCAAAGGTTGCTCAGACGTTAACGTATTTTAAATATTCCTATATTTCTTTCAAAATGTTGTTCTATCTATCTATCTATCTATCTATCTATCTATCTCTGTTCATACTTCTTGCTCTCTCCCCTCCTATCTATCTATCTATCTATCTATCTATCTATCTATCTATCCTTCTTGCACTCTCTCCTCATCTATCTATCTATCTATCTATCTATCTATCTATCTATCTATCTATCATCTTCATACATCTTGCTCTCTCTGCTTATCTATCTATCTATCTATCTATCTATCTATCTATCTAAGTCACATCACTTCTGACCCCAGTTGGAGGAACCCTTCCCTGATTGATGATTCTATCAGGGTATAACTGTACTCACCATGCTTGTTCAATTGCGGGTGGGTGAGGCTACTTAATCCATAGTTGTGGTTTCGAATTTAGAGTTCTTCTCTTAGACCGGTTGATACTCAGTCTGCCCTGCTGTTTACCCATAGATAGGCTGGGGTAGAAGAGATGGATTCATGCCTTTCCCAATGGGATTTGCGAGTATATGAATGCAACAAACTCAAATGGAATTCGAAATCGACTCTCCGATTTTTCAATTTGAGCCACTATCGGTTACTCCATCTTACATCCAGGAGCAAACCGTCAGTGTCTTCTATTATAAATCTACCTGAGGCTTTCTCATCCACGCAAGATTAAGTTAGACAAAAAGGGGCATTCTCTATCTGAACCTTGCCACATCCATGAAGTACTAGCTTTGTGTTATCCCTATCTTGGCTCTGGGTACTTTCCAGACCTATAAGCATAATGAAGGATACTGATGCGGATAAAATTTCTGTGGTTGTCCTAAGAACCTTTGATCAGAGCTATCTCAAATCTTGCCAAAATGTTTAACCACTCCTCTTCAGGTCTTCAGCAAAAATTTAAGGATATCACCAACAAGAATATTATTGATCAGTTCAAAATAAACCACTTTCTGAGTGACAAACATTTTCACCCTTCAAGGTTCACAGATGCTGTCTTCACTATAACCACATATAGAATCAATAAAACACTTGATAATAAACACATCTCAAGAGCGATTGCCTTTCATATCAGTAAAATAGCTACAATGAAAACAGCAGTAGTAATTCTCAAATATTTTATATGGATCAAACCAAACAATTGAATATCTAACTCCTACTACGTTTACAAAACTAAGAACAGTGTGAAATTGCTACTGACGTCACAAGAGGCAGATCAAACAAAAAATTAAAGAAACTAACTACAACTGCTTTTATAAAAATCAAATTAATACCTCATTACTACTGCCATTACAGGAGGCAGATCAGATAAAAAATGAAATATCTAACCTTTACTGCTTTTACACGAATCAAAAAAGTACCAAAATACTACAGTCATTACAAGAGGCAGATCAGACCAAAGAAATGGTGTACCTAATTGCTACTGCTTTTACAAGAGTTAAATTATTACCTAACTACTATTTCTATTATAAGAGGAAGATCAGACAAGAAAATCGAGTAACTAATCACTACTGCTGTTAGAAGCGTCAATGTATGACCCTACTACAGTGATTACAAAAGGAAGATCAGATCAAAAAGCAAGTACCTAATTGTTACTGATTTTACAAGTATCAAATTATTACCTAACTACTACTTCCATTATAAGAGGTAGGTCAGGCTAAAAATGGAGCATTAATTCTTACAACTTTTACAAGAATTAAATTAGTACATAACTACTACTTCTATGACAAGATGAGAAAAACTTGTGTATCTAATACCTACTGCTTTTAAAGGAATCAAATTAGTACCTGACTACTACTGCCATTACAAGAGGCAGATCAGACCAAAAGAGGAGTAGCTAATTGCTACTGATTTTACAAGAATTAAATAAATATCTAACTGCAACTGTCAATAATAAGAGGCAGGCCAGACCAAAAAATGGAGGATCTAACTCCTACAACATTTACAAGAACGAAAGAAGTACCTAACTAATATTTCCATGACAAAAGACAGATCAGACAAAAAAAAAAAAATTGTTGCTAATTCCGACTTCTTTTACAAGAATCAACTTACTATCTACTACCATTACAAGGGACAGATTAAAGCATAACATGGAGATAGATACACTACTGCTTTTATAAGAGTCAAATTTGTACGTCAATACTATTGCCATTACCAAAAATCAGACAAAAAAAAAGTGCTTAATTGCTACAGGTTTTACAACAGTCAATATAGTACCTCACTAATACTGCCATTAATAGAGGTAGGTCTAAACAAAAAATGGTATACCTAACGCCTACTGTTTTTGCAAGAGCAAAAGTAGTATTTCATTCTTACTGCCATTACAAGAGCTAGGTCTAACCAAAAAATGGTGTATCGAACTATTACTACTTTTACAAGAGCTAAATTAGCATTTCATTTACTACTGCCATTAAAAAATAGGTCTAAACAAAAATGGTATATATAAATCCTCCTGTTTTTGAAAGAGCCAAAGTAGTATTTCATTCTTATTACCATTATAAGAGGTAGGTCTAATCAAAAAATGGTGTATCTAACTACTAGTAATTTTACAAGAGCTAAAATAGTATTTCATTCTTATTGCCATTACAAGAGGTAGGTCTAATCAAAAAATGGTGTATCTAACTCCTACTGCTTTTACAACAGTCAATCTTAGTTCCTTACTACTACTGCCATTACAAGAGGCAGATCGGACCAAAAATTTATTTTTTGCCATATCTGTCTTGAGGCTGCTTAGTTCTCACTACTTGTTGGTTATTATTTTCCATCTGGTCAACCTTATTCTACAGATTAATATTGCTAACCTCTCGCTATTTTATCATCATTTCCATGACAATTGTTCTGAGTAGCTCCATTCCTTAGTTTCATCACTTCATTCCTTCATTGATAGGAGTCGCCGATACATGTACATGTCATAGACTCGCCCACATTCTCTTTTTGTTCATTTGGTCAGATGATAGTTTGTCTCAGACAGTTTCTTTTCCCGAATCACTTTGTGGAACATACTCCCGAGAGGATGCTTCCCGGACTACAACAATTTAAACCTCTTCAACGCTAAGGTTAACTAGCTTAGATAGGTTATCTATCCAACATATCCTCATAATATGCATCTCTCCTTTTTTCCTTATATGATTTCTTTCATTAACACTCTACCATGAGTGGCTCTTGGACCTTGCATTGACTGAACAATCGTGTAAAAAGAACAACACTGAAATATTATATCATCTAACCTGAAAAAATCAGCTACAAATACAAGAATCATTAACCATAAAATACAAACAACCCCAAATCAACAGTGTTATGAAATTTAACTATAATAATATGTAATAATAATTATTATTATGAATATATTTTATTAGAAAGCAACAACAAAACAGCATAACAGATAACATGAACTCTCACCAATATCTGTCTTCCTTATGCTCATAATCTCCACATACTACATACCATCTTTTCTTCCATGCATATCACACAGCGTATTATTATCACACAGCGTATTATTATCACACAGCGTATTCAACAGTAGCATTTCACATTTAACTCTCCAGCTGTCTCTTCGTATTTTTACAATACTAAAACTCTGTGAACTTTGTTTGCTTGTGTGTTTGCTATCGTGCACATGAAGTCATATATAGAGAGTGGGGGAAAGAAAGATGTACATTTATTATCTTGTAGGAAGAGGGGGAGAAGGAAATGGTAGTATACATGAATTGACAGTGTGTTGTAGAGTGGTTTCACAGTGGAGGCTTGTATTTGTACTAAGTCGAACCTAAAATAGGTTCGACGTACAAAACGTTAGGGACTTGATATAATAGGTAATGACGCAGTAATCTAGTTGTGGTGGCTGATACTTTAATATCCGACTAACGGTCATCCGACATCGACTCACTGACCAACTCACTGAGCGACGGTATTTAGTCAACCCCCCCCGTGGGCATCATGTGGCACAAGGCCGGTTTAACGTGGGATCTCCGAGCCCGTGGGCTCGGCCAAAAATATGCCCATTGAATCCGTATAAACGGGTTCAGGGTCGGTTTACCTAACCGAAAGAGAATCCGCCATTCGGCGTTGGCTCGTTCGGGTTCCTCACCGCCCGAAGGCAGAGAGTTCAACTGGTCAGCCAGTCGTCCGACTTCAGACTGAACTCAGACCCACCTCTCTGCCTTTCCACCTCTCTGTCTTTTCCACCTCTCTGTCTTTTCCACCTCTCTTTCTCTTTCCACTTTACACTTTTACCACCTCTCTCTCTCTTTCAAACGCGCTCTCTTTCCACCTCTCTCTTTCCACCTCTCACTCTTTCCACCTCTCTCTCTTTGCAATCTGTGCCCTTTTCCACCTCTCTCTTTCATTCCGTCTCTTTTCTTTTCTCTTTCTCTCTCTTTCAATCGCGCCTCTTTCCACCGCTCTCTTTCAATCGCGTTCTCTTTCCACCTCCCACTCTTTCCACCTCTCTCCATTCCATTTTCACCTCTCTTTGCGCCTGTCCTTGCTTTTCCACCTTCTCTCTCCGGCAATCGCGTTCTCTTTCTTTCTCTCTCTCTTTCCCTCCTCTCTCTCTCTTTCCATCTCTCTCTTTCCACCTCTCTTTCTTTCCACTCTCTCCATCTTTTCTCCTTTCTCCATATTTTTCCTGCTCTCTCTTTCTTTCCAATCGTCCGTCTCTTCTTCAATCCTTCTCTTTCTTTCAATTCTTCCCCATCTCTCTTTTTCCCCTCTTCTCTTTCTCTTTCTTTCCATCTCTCCTCCTTCCCCTCTCACTTTTCCACCTCTCTCTTCCTTTTCACTTTTCTTTTCGTTTCCACCTCTCACTGCTTTTCCACTTCCCATCTCTCATTAAATCCTTTACATCTTCTTTCCACCTCTCTCTTTCCACCTCGTCTTTCTTTCCATCTCTTTCTTTCCACCTCCCTCCGGCCAACTTCCTTTCATTTCTCTTTATTTAAACAAACAATATTTTAAATATTTAAAAAAATTTTGCCATCTTAAGAAATTTTCAAGTGAATATGATTTAAAAATTCCACCTCTTTTAATACAGTCTCTCTTTCAATTTCAACTTTCTTCAAACTTTCAATTTCTTTTTTTCTCATCATCTCTCTCTGTCTTTTTCCATGTTTTTATAATCTCTCTGTGAAAGTCCTTTTCTTTCCACGTTTTAAGTCGGTCGTCTCTCTTTCATAATGATTTAAATTTCATTTTCGTCTCTCTTTCCACCTCTCTGTCTTTTCACTTCTCTCCCTTCCACCTTTCTCTTTCCACCTTTTGTCTTTTCCACATCTCTCTTTTTATACCTTTCTCTTTACTTTCTCTCTTTCTTTCCACCTCTCTGTCTTTTCCACCTCTCTGTCTTTTCCACCTCTCTTTCTCTTTCCACTTTACTCATTCCACCTTTTCGTCTTTCCACATCTCTCTTTACACCTTTCTCTTTCCACATCTCTGCCTTTCCACCTCTCTGCCTTTCCACCTCTCTGTCTTTTCCACCTCTCTGTCTTTTCCACCTCTCTTTCTCTTTCCACTTTACTCATTCCACCTTTTCGTCTTTCCACATCTCTCTTTACACCTTTCTCTTTCCACCTCTCTGTCTTTTCCATCTCTCTTTTCCACCTCTCTCTTTTTTCCACCTCTGTCTTTTTCCACCTCTCTTTCTCTTTCCACCGTCCTCTGTCACCACCTTTTTCGTCTTTCCACATCTCTCTTTACACCTTTCTCTTTCCACATCTCTCTTTCCACCTCTCTCTCTCTTTCCACATCTCTCTTCCCAGCTCCTCTCTCTCCCTTTTTCCACATTTCTTTCTTTTGTGCACTTTACTCATTCCACCTTTTCGTCGTTCCACATCTCTCTTTACACCTTTCTCTGTCCACATCTCTGCTTTTCCACCTCTCTCTCTCTCTTTTTTTCCACCTCTCTTTCTTTTCCACCTCTCTCTCTCTTTTCTTCCACCTTTCTTTTCACATTTCCACTCTCTCCTTTCTTTTTCACCTCTTTTCCACCTCTTTTTCGTCACCCTGTTCCACATCCACTCTTTTTCCACCTTTTCTCTTCCACATCTCTCTTTTCCACCTCTCTGCTTTCCCCACTCTGCTGTTTTTCCACCTCTCTGTCTTTTCCACCTCTCTTTCTCTTTCCACTTTACCTTCCACCTCTTCGTCTTTCCACCTCCTTCTCTTTCCACTTCTCTTTCTTTTCCACCTTTCTTTTCCACTTCTCTCCCTTCCACCACCTCTCTTTTTCCACCTCTCTCCTTTTTCACCTCTCTTTCTTTTCCTCCTCTTTTCTCTTTCCCTTCTTTACTCATTCCACCTTTTCGTCTTTCCACATATCTCTTTACACCTTTCTCTTTCCACCTCTCTGCCTTTCCACCTCTCTGCCTTTCCACCTCTCTTCCATTTTCTTTCCACCTCTCTCTCCCTTTTCACCTTTCTTTGCGTTCCACTTTGCTGGTCCACCTTCCGTCTTTCCACATAATACTGATTTCTTTCTTCCACCTCTCTGTCTTTCCACCTCTCTCCTTTCTTTTCTCTGTTTTCCCATTCTCTCTTTTCCACCTCTCTCTCTTTCCACCACCTCTTTGCCACCTTCTGTGTCTTTCCACCTCTTTGCGTCGTTCCACCTTTTTTCTCTTTCCACATCTCTCTTTCTTCCACCTCTCTTTCCTTCCACACTCTCTTTTCTTTCCATCTCTCTGTCTTTCCACCTCTCTCTTTCCACCTCTCTCTCTTTTCCCCTTCTTTTTCGTTCCACTTCTACTTTTCCTCCACCTTTTCCGTCTTTCCACATGGATTTCTCTTTCTTCCACCTTTCTCTTTCCACCTCTCTGTCTTTCCACCTTCTCTCTTTTCCATCTCTCTCTTTTCCACCTTCTTTACACTTTCTTTTCCACTCGTGTGTGCTTCCGTCTTTTCGTCTTTCCACCGTCTCTCTTTTACATGGATCTTTCCACATCCACTCTCTTTCCCACCTCTCTGCCTTTCCCATCTTCTCGTCCGTCTCTCCTTCCACCTCTCTCTTTTTCCTCTCTTTCTCTTTTCTTTCTTTTCTTTTACTCTTTCCATCTTTTGCATCTTTCCACATCTCTCTTTACACCTTTCTCTTTCCACATCTCTCTTTTCCCCCTCTCTCCTTTCTTTCTCTTTTTCCATCTCTGTCCCTTTCCACCTCTCTCTTTCCACCTCTCTCTCTTTTTCATCTTTCTTTTGTTTTTTTCCATTCTCTTTCTTCCCACCGTTCTCTTTCCATCTCTCTTCCACCTCTCTGTCTTTCCACTCTTCTCCATCCTCTTCCACCTTTCTCTCTTTCCCCTTCTCTTTTCTTTTTCTCTTTCTCTTACTCTTTCTTTTTCCACCTCTCTGTCTTTTTCCTCTCTCGTCCGTCCTCTTCCATCTCTTTTTTAAGTTTCTTTCCACTTCTCTCTTTCCACCTTTCTTTTCTCTTCTGCCTTTCCATCTCTCTCTCTTTCCACCTTTCTGTTTTTCCTTCTCTCTGTCTTTTCCACCTCTCTTTTCACTTCTCTTGCGTGGTGCCTCTCTGTCTTTCCACCTCTCTCTCTTTTCCACTCTTTCCCACCTTTCTCCTTTCCACCTCTCTCTTTCCACCTCTCCCTTCAACAACAAAATAAAACAATGTTTTAAGTTTTCTTTTCAATCATGATCCCAAGTTGTAATGTTGAAAATTAGGATAATTCGGAAAAGAATGAATGGCATTTCTGTTTATCAAAAGAATAAAAATAGAAAAGAAAAAGATAAAATTTTTGGATAAGAAAAGAAAGAAAGTGTTTTTCCTTTCAAAAGGTTACTGAATTTCTAACCAAAATGGTGTTTGCTTTCCCACGTAATCTTTCACCGCATCAACGAAATACAATACTCGCCAGCTCTCTCTGTCCTACTTTCTGCATTTCCCCACACCACCTCTTTCAATAGTGTCCAATGTATTTATGAGGATTTAGACATTTCCCATTAGTGTTCATGGTACCTTATATAACAGAAAGAAAAAAAAGAAAAAAAAAAAGAAAGAAAAAAGAAAGAAAGAGAAGAAAGAAAGAAGACTTAAAATATAAAGAGGAAGAATGATCTGCAAATAGGAAACAAAAGAAAAAAAGGTGGAAAACATCTTTCCAAAGACATCACAGAAATATTTCTTTTCATTTCTATGTTTAAGCTTTGTGCTTTACCGTCTCACTGAATATTCTAAGACATAATATAAAAAACGAAACTTCTCTTCGTCAAATCCTCAAGAGAGGTCTACCCCCAGGTGGATACATTCAGACTTTCTTTTCCCAAGCAGTCTCAACTTTTAGAACCTAGTTTTCCCTCTCCACTTTATTTGCCCTTATGAACCTCTTTCTAAACCCGATCTGTATTTTCCCTTTAGAACCTTTTTAAACCGAAACTATATTTACGTTTATTCCGCCTTTTCTAAACTCGACCTGTATCTATCTTTTTGCCTTAGTCTTTTCCAGTCCTATCTCTGTTTTTAATTAGTATTTCCGGACTTATACTTATCTTTGACCCTAGTGTGAATCTATTTATCTTTTTTTGACTCAAATGTAAATCGTCTCTTTATCTACTTTTCTAACGTTAGGGTTAAGGGCAATTGTGTCTACGTTTCTCTTTCATTGTCATTCATTGTGTCCTCTGAAACTCCCATTCGAACTCTATTATTACATCCTTGTTGTTAATTTCTTTTCTGTCTAATTTAAAATTCTTACCTTTTCTTTCCACGCTCTCCTTGCCAACTCTTTCCAACTAGTTCCTGCTTTTCATAATTGGGCCTCTGGTCTAAAACTAATGGAACTTCTGGTCCAGCTTAGAAAACTGCAATGATAATTTTGAAGAAATAACTTTTTAATTTCCTCAATTCATTCAATGGAACTCTCTTTTCTTTCGCTTTCCTCTGATTCTCGCTTTCCAATTCTGACCAAAAAGACCAATTTTTTTCTCTCTGATTTGGGCCGAAACTCTTTGATTTCCTCCCGAAATTCCAATTTTCCGAAAACCGAGTTCTTCAAAACAAACTCTTTCCCACGGAACCTTTCTCTTTCTTCCACTCACGTCACGAAATCTCTTTCTTTAACTCTGATTCCTTCCCATTTTTTTCCCTCAATTTACAAAATTTTGGAGATATTTTAAACTGAATTTAAAACCAAAAAATTAAATTTACAAAGTTTTTGTGTTGCTTTAAACTCAATATAAATTAAATTTCAGTTATTTTAAAATTTGAATTTCCAACTTTCCTCCTCATCCGGATACATATCCCAGTGCTGGATGTTCAAGCAGCAAATGAAGGACAGATTTTCAATCCCGAGATCATCCTGATTCCAAAAGGTATAATATGCCTATGTTCCAAAGTGGTCTCTGTCTTTTCACACTCTCTTTCAGATAGAATTTGCCGTTTATTTATTAAGAAGATTTGTCATAGGTATAGAAAAAATAAGAGTATGTATAGATTTTGGGACTGTCCGTATGTTCAGGAATTATCTGGGAGTTTTAGAATATATGTTTTTCCTTAAGAGAAGTGAGCGACTGTTCTTAGAAAAATGTACCAAGGTAGAAGAAGCACTGAAAAAACTTCATGAAATATGAAGAAGAAGAAAAGAATAAAAGAAAATAAACGAGAGAACGAATCTAGAAGATTGATGAAAGCAAAAAGAAGAAAGAGTTCTTTCCACTTGAGAAAGAAGAGAAACGATAAAGAAGAAATATTTGGACGAGAAAGAAAGAAGTTTAGATTTCCAATACTCTCTCTATAACTGAAATTTCTTGGGTATATGGCATATAAAAAAAAAGAAGAACGAAAAGAAAACAGAGAAATTTTTTCTTCTTGACCACATTTCTCTTTTCAAAAAAAAAAAAAAATAGCAAAAGTATAAAAAATTCAGACATATGTTTTCCTGAACGCTATGTGTGCTATTTTTCCACATATTTTCATTGAGGCAAATATGTTGTGATTTAAACACACATACCACACGCACAAACACACACACATTATATATATATATACCTGAAGACTGCATTAACTGCATCTCTTCCGATTAACTTTATCGACGTTAGATGTTATGTATATTCAGTAATATATATATATATATATATATATCTATATAAAAAACTTTAAACATTATTTTTAGTGGATACCCATATTTGAGTAAACGGTGCTTTTATTTATTAAACAACAACAACAACAACAACTCTAATTTAATAATAATAATAATAATAATAATAATAATAATAACTAACGGAGTATGACACAATGAAACACCGGAGAATAAGGCCTTAATGTCGTATTAATCGGCAGAGACTTAGTATTTCTAAAATTCCCACGGTAGCCGGCGACAACTAAATTTTCATGGGTGTTCTCTCTCATCATAAGGACAATAGTTTTTTCCAAATAATGATAACTCCTCCTCTAATTCAGGCAGAAATTATCGAATCGGAATGGAGGCGGTCGGAAAAAGGCTATCAAAATTGGCATGCATGTTTTTCCATTCATTTCCCCATCTCAAGTATAGAAACCTAAAGTTAGTTCCACAAGGCTTATAGTAATGAAGACACTGGTCTTTCCCCTTTATAAACGGTAGTGGCAAGAACAAGACACGTACGCTCTCATTTTCCACAATCGCCGGAGGACACATTAACTGGAACATGAACTCTCTGAACAAACCTCTCATATTATATATTATCTCTTATCTTTCCATCTCTCTGTCTTTCTATCCCTCCCTCTTTCCACATCTCTCTTCCCATCTCTTCTTTGCACTTTCTCTTTCCACCTGTCTTTCTTTCCACCTCTCTCTCTTTCCATCTCATGATTTCTTTTTTTCCACCTCTTTCTCTTTCCTCTTTCCACTCTTTCCACCTCTCTCTTTCTGTCCTCTCTGATTTTTTTCATACTCTTTCCAACTCTCTCTCTTTCTCATCTCTCTTTCCCACCTCTTTTTCCACTCTCTCTCTTTCCCACCTTTTCCATCTCTCTCTTCCACCTCTCTTTTCCATCTCTTTTTCATTTCTCTTTCTTTCCATCTCTTTCTTTCCACCTCACCACTTTCTGTCCCTCCTTCTCTCTCTTTTCCATCTCTCTCTTTCACCTACTCTTTCTACCTCTCCCTCTTTCCAGCATCTCTGGTTTCCACCTCTCTCTTTCCCCCTCTCTCTCTTTCCATCTCTTGATTTCTTTTACTCTTTCCACCTCTCTCTCTTTCCATCTCTCTCTTTCCACCTCTCTGCTTTCCCCTCTCTCTTTCCATCTTTTGATTCTACCTCTCTTTCCCACCCTCTCTTTCTTTCCACCTCTCTCTTTCCACCTCTCCTCTTTCCCCTCTCTCTTTTTCTTTTTCTCTTCCCTTTCCACCGTCTCTTTCACCTCATCTCTCTTTCCATCTCTCTCTTTCCACCTCTCTCTTTCCATCTTTTGATTTCCACCTTTTCTTTCCACATCTCTCTTTCTTCCCACCTCTCTCTTTCTGTTCTCTTTTTTCCTACCTCTTTTTCCACCTCTCTTTCTTTTCCACCTCTCTTTCTTTTTCTTTCACTTTCTCCTCTCTTTCCACATCTTTGATTTCTTTTCCATCTCTCCCCTCTTTCTTTCCACTCTCTGCCTTTCCACCTCTCTCTTCCACCTCTTTCCTCTCTCTCTCTTTCCAACTTTTGATTTCTACCTCTTTTTTCCACCTCTCTTTCTTTTTCCATCTCTCTTTCCCTTTCCTCTCTCTTTCACCTCTCTCTTTTCCATCTTTTTTTTCCACCTCTCTCCTTCCACCTCTCTTTGCTTTCTTTTGGTGCACTCTCTCTTTCCCACCTCTCTCTCTTTTTTCATCTCTCTTTCCACCTCTCTTTCCCTTTCTCTCTCTTTTTTCCTCTCTTTCTTTTCCACTTTCTCTTTCCACCTTTCCATCTCTTTCCACACATCTCTCTTTCCACCTCTCTCTCTTTCCATCTCTCTGCTTTCCACCTCTCGCTCTTTCCCACCTCTCCATCTTCTTTTCCACCTCTCCTTTTCCACTCTCTTTTCCACCTCTGTCCACCTCCCTTCTCCACCTCTCTTTCTTTCCATCTTTTCTTTTCCTCTCTCTTTTCCACCTCTCCCTCTTTCCAGCTCTCCCTCTTTCCACCTCTCTCTTTCCCCTCTCTCTTTCCATCTTTTGATTTCCCCACCTTTCATCTTTCCACCTCTCTCTTTCTTTTTCCATCTCTCTCTTTTCCACCTCTCTCTTTCCCCCTCTCTCTTTCCATCTTTTGATTTCTACCTCTCTTTCCACATCTCTCCTCTCTCTCTTCTTTTCCATCCATCTCTCCAATTCCCTCTTTTCTCTTTCCACCTCTCTTTTTTCCTTTTCTCTTTCTCCTCTCTCTTTCCACCTTTCTTTCCACCATCTCTCTTTCCCACCTCTCTCTCTCTTTCCACCTCTCTCTCTTTCCATCTTTCTCTCTTTCCACCTTCTCTTTTCCACCTCTTTGTCTTTTTCCCTCTCTTTCCACCTTTCATCTCTTTTTGATTTCTTCCTCTCTGTCTTTCCACCTCTCCTTTTCCACCTCTCTCTTTTCACCTTTTTCTTTCCACCTCTCTTTCCACCTCTCTCTTTCCACCTCTCTCTTTCCACTCTCTTTTCCATCTCTTGATTTCTATCTT